CTTGAATGGGTCTGTCTGTCAAGGGATTGGCACAGAGATGCTGCCCTCCGGCCAGGACCACTGGACCCTGGGGCGGGTACACACGAGCCTGGCACTGCTGTGGTGGACTGTGTCTGACATACCGCCAGTCTCCATCAGGGCCCGTGCAAGCTGACAGGCTAGCGGCACGGCTGTGACGGTTTCCATCACAGAGTGACGATGTTTGTAACGCCGTCACAGTGACGTCTCGGCACCAGTGAGGCCCTCTGCATAAATACCTGCTTCTCTTTCACATTTTATTTTACTTTACTTTACTGTGTGTGGTAGCTGGCTGTGTGCGTGTGCACCCCATCTGTGGCTGGTGCCTGTGGAAGCCAGAAGAGAGCACTGACATCCTGGAACTAGTTACAGATGGTTGTGAGCCCCTGTGTGGGTGCTGGGAACCAAACCCGTGTCTTACTAACTTACAGGTGAACACACGGAAATTCTGACGTCAGTGGTTTTTCAAGCTAAAAGGCCTGGCAAACACAAGGTTATGACCAAAAGTCTCATGTTCCCAAACATGCTTGAGAGCAAATGGTGTGTGTGTGTGTGTGTGGATGTGTTGGGGTGTGCGTGCACGCGCATATAGGACCACACAGCTAATACACGCACACCTGGACGACATCCGGCGTATCCCCTGAGCGGGCTCTCTTGCTGAACCTTGAGCTCACCTTTCGTTAGAGTGGTTGGCCAGCAAGTCCCAGCAATTCTCCGCTCTCTGCAAATCCTTCCCCCATGGAGCCAGGGTTAAGAGGCTGTCACCACATCAGGCCTTTTATGAGTGCTGGAGATCACTCGGGGCCTCCTGCTTGCACGCTCAGCCACTGAGCCACGCCCACACCTGATACCTGTTTGTAACAGCTAAGGCATGTGCCTGACAAACTGCACTGTTCACACTGGACAAACAGGTGTAGGTTCAACCAGCTCACTACCGTTGGAGGTGCCGTGTGGCAAATGAGCCCAGGGAGTTGCTCATTTGGGGTGCGTGTGTTGTGGGGGGCAGAGAAGCCGGGAAACGATGGGTGGTGACAAGCCCGGTGCTGAGAACCTGAAGGGCGGAGGGAGCTTCTGCCGGGAAGTGGGAATGACAAGAAGGCAACACCAACAACCATGAAGGAAGGGCATTCCATCCCGAGGGAGCAGCCCATGAGAGCACCCAAGCCGAGGCCACGCTCAGTGAGGTCACCCCACTCTAGAACAGGCTTTTAGCCCAGTCATGGGAGTCTTTAATTCCAGATTTTTCCCATAGACACACATCTGAGAGACTCTAAATGTAATTTATCCCACGTGAGCACAAGGATGAGTGATGGGTTCATAACATGCAAACCAAAGCTAACAGACTTTCTTTGGGCTCTCAGGAGTCCCTGGATGACTAGTGGGATGGTTCAGGTCAGAAGAATGTGGGGGAGATGGCCAGAGTGCCCGACAACCCCCCCAGCCACACCCTGAGGCTCCAGCAGTCAGAGAGAAAGGTGCCCTCCAGCTGCAAAAGCTATAAGCAGAGTGAAGTGAGGTTTGAGACAGGAGCACAGGGTGTGTGTGTGTGTGAAAACACTAAGCTTTCCAGGCAGAAAACCTTTGTATTTGAAGTTGGGGCTAAGGCTCACAGCCTTGCAGCCGAGAGAAAGCGAAATAGTGCAGCCGCTCTGGAAGTGAGTATGGAGAACCCTCAAGAACCGAAAGTAAGTCTATCACATGACCAGCTATAGCATTCCTTGGCATACAGGAGGCCTCCTGGGAGCTGGGACACACAGTTCCAGCTCTGCCCCCAACCTGACGGCTCCCAGGCCCAAGAGACACCCAGGGCCCTATGCTCGGGTCTCCCTGAACATGACTCCTGAGTTCCACTCAGCTCCAACATCAGGACCCCACACTTCTTCTGCCATCCTAAGGAAACCTCTGAGGTACCAGAGCTAGGGTCCCAGCTTCTAGCCCATGGTCCCCCAGTGTAGACCGGCTACACAACAGGAACAGAGGGGGTCCCCGTTCCAAGATGGCAGCATCTGAGTACCAGGAGAGCTGTGTCTGCCAGGTGAGCAAGCCGCCATGACTAACTACAAAACACTAGCATCTGTTCATACCCTTCCCCATCCTTCCCCCCCCTCCACAGGCTGCCAGGCTCGCAGGGCACCACCCTGGGACCTCCCGGCTCCTCCTGGCATCCTGAGGACTGCTCGGGATTTCAGAGGCGTGCAGATCCAGCTTTGCTAGTGGTCTCAAGACTGCAGGACCTCGCCCAACTGCGCAGGTTAGAAACCCTGACTCTGCCTGTAGGGGACACAACCAGCAGAGCAGAGCTGAAGGCTGCAGAAGCAGATTCAGCCCCAACCTGCAACTTAGGGCTCCTCCCATATGCCCAAGAAATCCCACAGGTTCCAGGAATAACCAGCCAAGGCCAGGGACAACCAGATGGCTGAAGGCCAGCGTAAGAACATGATCAACAAAACCAGGGCAATATGGCAGCAAGCTCTGGATATCCTAACCCAGGGCAGTGACCTTAAAACTCTGCTTATGAAGATGGTAGAGGCCTTTAAAGAGGAAATAAGTTCCTCAAAGAAATACAGGAAAACACAATCAAATAGAGGCTTTTAGAGAGGAAACGGATAAACCACTTAAAGAAATACAGGAAAACACAATCAAACAGGTAAAGGAAATGAATAAAACAGTTTAAACTGGGCAGATGTCAAGCAGACCCAAAGAGACCACAGATGTCAGCCCAGACTACTATACACAGCAAAGCTTTCAATCACCACAGATGGAGAAAACAAGATATTTCACCACAAAACCAAACCTAAACAATATCTCTGCACAAACCCAGCCCTACAGGAGATGCCAGAAGGAAAACTTCAGCCCAATGAGGTCAACTACACCCAAGAAGACTCAGGACATAAATCACTTCACAGCAGCGAAATCAACATGAGAATGGATAACGAAAATGTGGCACTCATACACAATGGAGCACTATCCGTCTATAAATAAAGATAAAATCATGCAGAAAGAACCTCACGGAACCCAGCAACTCAAGACTTCATGCAGGGGTGGTCCTAGCTGGGGGCATCGCCTGTCTCTATGTAAGCAGTGAAGTGCTATATCGGGTGTTTTGCCGCACGCCTTTAATCCCTGCACCCAGGAGGCAGAAGCAGGTGGGAGGTTGTGAGTTCAAGGGCAGCCTGGCCTACATAAGCAAGTTCCAAGTCAGCCAAGCTTACACAGAGACCATTCCAAAAGAAGTGGAGGAAGTTGCTGGAGGAAATACAGAGCCGGGGTGGGCTTTGGGAGGTCATAGCCTCACCCCCGCCTGCTCACTCTCTGCTTTGCGCTCACAGGTCAGGACATCGGTTCTCAGTTTTCCGTTCCTTCTTCCTCCTGTCTGCGAGCTGCCTTGGGCTTTTCACGAACAAAAAAGTAACCAGCAAAGCGCAACAGCGAGGAAGCAGCTCAGACATTGCCAGGCCCAAGTCTCATCCCAGAGCAGCACAGTGAGTGTGTTTGCACGGCAGGCTTAAAACATGTGACCGCTCAGATCTCACCGAGGCCCGAGTGCCCCGAGAGAGGAGAGAAGGGTGAGCACAATGCCAGGCCACCTCTGCAAAGCTAACAGGGGGAATCCGTGATGCAGGGCATCTGGAGTTCCAGTCTGTAGAACAGGTAAAGAAGGGCTCACAGTGGGATTCTGGGCATCTGCCCCTCCCCGTGTAGGTGTGACTGGCATTGTGGTAACTTTGCTACTAAGCCCATTTCCACTGTTTTCCACTCTTCATGCTTAGGCCGCTGTGAGACCTCAATGCTCATGCTCAGCTCTCCACAGAGACCAACCCTAGGCCCTATTCTGTTTATCTCGCTGCCATTAAAACCTCAGAGCATTAGTGACCTCCAGCTGCAAGGACAGCCTGCCACCAGGAACAAACGCCCTGGCTTCCCCAGCACACAGCAAGTTGAGTGTGAGTTAGTGAAACACTTCTTAAGAATCCTCTAAACCGAAGACAATGCTGTCCGGGTCTGTAAAAAGGTCATTTGAGGCTTTAAATCTATGGGAAGGAAAGGCTGCCATTGAAACAGCTCAGCATTTCTGGGGTCCTGGGAGGTCTCTGGCCCAGACACATCCTGACGAAGCACATGTGACAGTAGGATCAGCAAGACCTTGAGAAACCTATAACCACACAACAGAGGAAGAGGCTTGCACACTGGCCCTCAGCAGCACAATCTGCCTGGAGTACCTCTCTTTCTCTCACACACACACACTCACACCTGTAGCCTGAAAGTCAGACCACAGAGCGAGCCCAGCCAAGCAGGTATCCCCAAAGGAACACAGCCAGAGACCAGGTCACAGCACACACGGCCTCTGCTGCTGGGGGCAGAGGAATGAAGGACAATGGTTTCCACCAGCGTTATAACTGAGACTGTGTCCTTCCGGGAAAACAGGACCTCCCTCCTCCCTTGCTGCCAGGAGAGAGGAAGATACAAACAAGCGAAGGAGGCCAACAGGGAAATGTGCGTGCATCTGCATACTGCCTGCTCACACGTACACCCGCTACTCTATCTACAGGGCATGCGCACACCCATGCGCACACACCGACGCCATCTGCTCTATAGCATGCATCATGAGGCTCACCCACAAGATGCAGCGTTTCACGGAACCTGCAAAGCAGCTCTGCAGGGGCAAGCCTCCTGTTTGAGATGAAGGTGTTCAGACATGTGTGAGGACCAGCAAAGGCTGCCCACCCAGGGCTGGGGCTCCCAAGCCTAAGCCTACCCAGCTCTGACTCTCCAGGAAGAAGGCAGAATGAGCCTGACTGGGTTCTCGAAGCAGCAGCCTCCCAGGCAGGCCAGAGCTGGTCAGCCACGCCCCTCTCCCCACTATGTGCCATAGTGGGGCACACTCAGGCTGTCCCAGCCCCAGGAGGGGGTCAGCCCCGCTCTCAGCTCACTCGGCCCTCCCCCCACCCAGCACCCCAGCGGCTCCCCATCCCCACGGTTACCTAGGGCCCAGCAGGAAAGCCTTTCCAGGAGCCGGGTGCTGCCACAGAGGGCGTGCATGAACATGAGGTGGAGCAGCAGTTCGGCCAGCCACCACCAGCAGAGCAGGCGGCCCAGGGCCTTGGCCAGCCCACAGAGGCTGCGCTGTGGAGAGCTGAGGTCTGGCTGCTGCATCTGAGGAAGGGAAGCAGAGGAGGCAGCGTTAGACGGTGCTGGTCCCGCGCTGTGCAGAGTCTCTCCGTGATGGCTCTGGTAAGGTCCCACATATCACCATTGCCCTTCTGCTGAGGGGCCCAGGGTCAGGGGAGACGGTTCATTTGCCTTGGGGCCATGCAACTTTCCCAGGTAAGAAAACTGCAGAAACTGCCCCAGAAGAGAGCAGGTATGCCAATACGGTGCCCTGGAGCCAAGAGCAATGCTACATTCTTCATCCGTCCTCCCAGCCCTGACCCGAGACAGCCCAGGCTGGGCCGGGACTTCATGGGCTCTGCCTTGTGAAACAGCCTCTCTGGGTGCTGGTCAGCCCGTTTCCCTCCACCCACCACCCCACTCATGCCTGAGCTGTCAGTCAGGCAACCACAGAAACGGGAGCCAACACTGGGATGGAGCCCGGGCAACCTGGAAGAATCAAGCATTCTGTAGTCAGAGGCAGGGGGATCCCTGTGAGTTCAAGATTCAGGGCCAGCCTGGTCTACAAATGAGTCCGGGACAGTCAAGGCTACACAGAGAAACCCTGTCTTAATATCCTCTCCCTCCACCCCAAAAAAAGCAAATACTGAGGTGAGACAGGAGTCTCGGCACCAACGGGCCAGAGTCCAGTGTCGGCCTCACAACTGCGTGGCCCTGAGAAGCTTCTCAACACCTTGGGGTCTTGGTTTCCTCAAATAAAGTGAAGTCGTGGTGGTGATGTGAGCACAAAGCCGGGCACACGCGTTACACGCTAGCACCTCACTGGCAGCTGTTCCTCCTTCGCCCTCTTTTCTCTGAGAGCCGCAGAGCACTGGCCACAGGGCTGGGCCGGATGTGAGCTGGGGGCTTCTGTCCTCCAGATAGCCTGGGCATCCCTATCTAAACCCCCCGGGATCCACGCACTCCCAAGCTTGCAGTTTTGAACACCGTCTCGGACATTATGCCCACTGAGCAAACCTGCTTTGGAACTGCTCAGAAGCCAGCGAATGTTGCAGCGTTCCGGACCTGTGTGGGCCGCACCCTCAGGAGCCCCTTCTCCCACGACTGCCTGGCTGTGGGAACCTCGCCACACAGCCCACTTGGCTGTGTGACTTCTCGGTGGAGAGCACGTCCGCATGGGGCTGCCTTAGCTTGCTGTCCCTGGCTGTGCTGAAGACCACGGTCAGGACAGCGTAACTTCCATCTCGCAGGTCATTGTAGAGGGAAGTCAGAGCAGGAGCGAGGCCGTGAGGGGTGCCGCTCACTGGCTGGCTCCTCGTGGCTTGCCCAGATCGTGTTCTTAAACCACCAGAACCACCCGTCCAGGCCTGGCACTGCCCACAGCGTGCTGGGCCCTCCCACATCAGTCATTACTCAGGAAAGCGCCTGGCTACAGATAGGGAATTTCCTCAGCTGAGGCCTCCTCTTCCCAAACGATCCCTGCTTGTGTCAAAATGACAAAAAAAAAAAAACTGACCACCACAGGGTCATCTCCCTTCGGGGTCCCCTCTCTGTGCAGGTCAGGGAAGCAGTAAGCGTCCACACCAAGGCAACCAAGAAAACAGGAGGAGGCACCAAATTCCCTCTGCCGAAGCCGGCCCGGCGTGGTGCCCACGGTGGCATACAGCGGCATGCGGGAGCAAGCTGTCCAGATCAATTCGCTAACAGCCTCAAGCGCCGCGTTGGCGCACACGAGTCTCACACGCAGCTGACTCTGCCCGGCTCTGGCCGCTGGGCACACAGCCTGCAGCCCCGCCCCCCAGCCGGGACCTTGCAGGCCTACGGGCCCAGTCTGGTGAGCAGAGCACGCATGGGCAAGGGCAGCAGATTCACCTCCCAGCCTGCCTCTCAGCAAAGGGCGGCTTGAAAGGAGCCCAGGCGGCCCCCCGCCACAGGAAGCGCAAAATGAACAAGCACCTGTGATGAAGTGAAAGCATGGGGTTCACGCCGCAGCCGATTGGCTTCTCTGTACCGTTCCTACTTCCCGGGAGCCTAACACATCCTGTCTGAGGAGCGTGTCTGTCAGCACCTTCAGGAAGGACAGAGTGTCTCCTACAGCTCTCTTGACACAGCACCTCCGTGCTTGGAGCCACAGAAATGCAGACTCCTTAACTCACAGTGCACACAGCTCCTGTCAATCATTCTTACCTACAAAAGAAAGGGGGAGGGGTGCTCCGGGCTGGGAAGATGGCTCCAGGCTGGGGAGATGGCTCAGTGAGTACAAGTTTTGTCAAATAAACAGGAGGACCCAAGCATGGTCCCGGGAACCCCCTCAGAGCCAGCCATGGTGACACAAACTTGTAACCCCAGAACTGAGGAGGCAGAGACAGGAGTATCAGAGCCTGGCAGTCAGCCTAGACTGCTGGCAGGAGAACCGGCCTACGTAAAAATCGACAGCTCCTGCGCGCACGCGCACACGAGCAGTCATTGCCTTTCTGGAAAGCTGGTAATCCTCACAGTCCACTCACATCTCCCTTCAGCAGAGTCTCTTTTATTGGATCCATTTGTCCCTTGCTTCGCAGCAGGAGGGACAGGCTACCGCACAGAGCTCCTTCCATTTGAGACATTTCCAGCCGAGGGGACTGTCAACCCTAAGATCGCTGGAAACTGCCACTGTGGGATTTCAAGTCAGACTCCACTGAAAAAACACACATTAGCTCGTCTGCTAAGTGTACTTTAAAACGCATTACGATTTAAAATCTCATTTCATGCAAATCGCATAAAAGGGAATGTCGCCTTTCTCCTTCAAAGACACTGAAGACGACAGTTGTCACTGAGGAAGGTGGTTGTCCTTTGCACAGGACGCGTACACCTGGAAGCAGCAGAGGCCTCTCCTGGGCTCAGGACTTCTGTCTGCAGGCACAGGGTCACACGCACGTATGTTCCCGAGGGGCCAGAGAGTCTTCTCTGTATTCCCCAAGTCCTTTGCCCACTCCCCGTGACATGCTTCTTACTCAGGCCGAGCATTGGTGCCCAGCTCAGCTACCCACAGCAAGGCCAGGGGCGAACACCAAACTGGCAGCTGCTGTTGCCGCCGCAGAGTGGCACCTGGTCTGGACAGCTGGGCCTTCATCTGGAGCTCTCAACCTTCCCAGTGCTGAGACCCTTTGCCCAGATCCGAGTGTGTGCTGACCCAACCAGGACATTATTTCACTGCTGCTTCATAACCATAATTTTTCTGCTGTTATGAGCTGTGACGTAAATATCTGACATGCAGGGGTACCTGCTGTGTGACCCCTAGGAGAGGGCCCCTCCCCCTCCACAGGACTGGGGGCTGAACCCTGGCAGAGGGCCCCTCCCCCTCCACAGGACTGGGGGCTGACCCCTGGCAGAGGGCCCCTCCCCCTCCACAGGACTGGGGGCTGACCCCTGGGAGAGGGCCCCTCCCCCCTCCACAGGACTGGGGGTTGACCCCTGGCAGAGGGCCCCTCCCCCTCCACAGGACTGGGGGCTGACCCCTGGGAGAGGGCCCCTCCCCCTCCACAGGAGTGGGGGCTGACCGGTTGAGCACTGCTCTAGCCCCTACACCCACCATCCTCCTCAGCTCCCAAGGACAACTTTGTGTCTTTCATTCTTTTTTTCAAGGCAACATTTCAAACTTACTATGTAGCCAAGGTTGGCCTTGAATCATGAATCGTGTGTGTGTGTGTGTGTGTGTGTGTGTGTGTGTGTGTGTGTGTGTGTACATGCATACTGATGAAAGGCACAGACCAATGTCCAACGTCTTCCTCTATCACCCTTGACCTTATGTTTTTTCTTTAGGTCAGAGCCTCTCACTGCACCTGGAGCTGCCACAGGACCACACTGACCCAGAAAGTACCTGCTGTCCCCCAACACTGGGGTTCCATGGGTGCACTGGCCCAGGCAGCTTTGATGTGTGCGGGGGGACTCGAGCCCAGGCCCCCATGTTCACACAGTGAGCAATCACCTACTCAACGATCTCCCCAGCCCTGCATCTGGAATCTCTGATCACCATGTCTCTACCTCCCACGTGCCAGGATCCCAGGCCTGAGCCACAGTGCCTGGCGCAAAGGTTGGAAGGGACCAGACAGTCACTGCAGGCAGGAATGGGCCTGCCTGAGAGTGGCTAGCGGGGGCAGAGCAGGAGATAGGTGCTGGCCTCTCAGAGGTGCTGCTGAGAGTCAGGTCTGAGGGTCAGGAGATCACTGAGTCACACTGACTGTGGTGAAAAACTGAGCGACTATAGTAAAAAGCTGAAATCGGCTGTACAGCCTCTCATTCACAGAATCTTCAAACCCTGAGAGAGTCCAGAGAGTATCTGGGAACAAGGACAAGATGAGGAGGGCAGGGAGGAAGATGGAGTACAGACAGAAGGGAGGAGGATGCAGTACAGACAGGATGGAGGAGGGCAGGGAGGATGGTGAAGAACATGAGTATAGCTCAACACAATGTTTCCCTCAGTGTCCAAACATGGCCACTGCTCAGACCCCTGTGCCCAGGCTGGACATGGGCCTCTGTCCCAGCCTGCACTCCCCGGGGCTTGCCACTTGTTCTAATCAGAACAGCATAGTGGGCGTGCTGCTCGCCGAGGAGTCATGGAACCACAGGCCCACACAACAAGCCTGGCTCATGTTAGCGGCCCACAGAAGGAGTAAACAAGGCACAGGGAAGGCTGCTCACCAAAACAAACAGGGATTTGAACCCGGAGCAGGGCCCTGGCTCACGGTGTCCACCCCAAGTGCCCATTTATCCACTGTCTCTCCCCCAGGTGGGAGCACAGCCCTGGGTAAGGGACGTCCTGGGCACCGGTCCACCTGCCTCCCAGCCAAGTGGCTTCCTCGCTCTGTGAACGAAACTTTCACACGGAGGACACCTCATCCACCTTCTCCTCACTTGTGTACATAAATGTATGTGCCAGAAACTGGAGAAACAGACACATTCTGCAGAGCTGCTCTTCTCCCCGTTTGGTACTGGGAGTTTCCGGTTCACCCTGCTCGGCCCTGCTGGGCTTGGTTCCGTGTGGGCAGCTGCTGCCCCCTGGTGGCGAAGCCTCCTCGCCTCACTCCTGAGTTCTTCCATTATTGTTGATCCTGCAGCCGACCCCCATCCCCTCATCGCAGAGGAAGCGAGCACTCACAGGCACCTAGGCAAATGCAGACGTCACATGGCCTTTTATTCTCTGTGGTATAACAAGTGTGATGTGAGTGTGTGGTCTGGTGAGTTCAGGAACATTCAGGGCACAGCACACAGGTGGAAGCCAAGAGAGAGACATGGTCTCTTGTCTGCTTTTGTCCAGCTAAGCCATGAGCTCCCGGGACTCTGCTGGCACAGGCGTGTGCACACTCCCACGTCTGGCTTTATGTGGCTCTGGGGATCAGAAGCCAGGTCTCACACTTGCAAAGCAAGAGCTCTACCCACTGAGCAACACTTCCAGATCCTGCCCCGCTTTTTACTTGGTATTTCTTTTGTCCTGTGGCTTACTGGGCATTTATTTTTCTGAGATGACTTTAATAAGTACAGGCAGGCCATAGAGGAGGAAGGTTTTGATTTGCCTTTCCAGAGTCCGTACTTGCAGCACCTGGGGCGAGCGACAGAGAAAGAAGACCTGGGCAGACTCTGACCCTAGAGGGTGAGCCCACTCACCCTGCATAGACCCGTGCTCAAGGGAACAGCCGTCCGTGGCTAAAGGTTTGGGTGAGCCGGGGCCTCAGGACCGCCGAGGACCTAGCTGGAGGGTCCTGAGGTGGCTCCTGTGGCTGGAAAGTGGGAGAGGAGAAGTAAAGCATGGCTGTGCACCCCAGCAACGCCATCTCCCACCGGACAACTCCCTGCACTTATGACGCAGTTGGGTAAAGAGCTTGTCTCCTCCGAATGGCTTTAGTCTGCAACTCCAAGAGTTACTATCCATCCCAGGGGAGGGTGGGGCCTAGGGTCAGTTCAGAAGTCACTGGCTGGAAAACTGGGAAGGAGCCAAGCTCACAACGTTAAGGAAATTGCAAGAGGCAAGATGTGGAAGGTCCGAGGCTGTCACTCTGTGCTCGCCCTGCCTCCACCCCAGTCCTCTGACAAACTCAGGACAGTGGTTCTCAGCCACCCCACGCATAAGAGCCACCCTCAGGGCACACGGCAAGCCACAGTGTTCATCGGCACCCCAAAGGCCTGATCAGCCACAGCCCTGGGGCGGGGCCTGAGAATGCGCATCTCAGCTCCCTGCTGCTGCCACAGACCAGGGACCACTCTTTGAGGTCAGCTACCATCCCTAACCCACCTGCCTCCTGCTCCATACTCTAAAATACAGTCTCCAGGGCTATAAATCACTGCATAAGCCAAAGAATGGCCCTACGGAACCAGACCAAGGTGTGAGAGACTGCAGCAAGCCGGCCCCCGCCAGGAGAGCCAGTGGCACCGGAAGAGTGTGCGGGGAAGGGCCTGTCCTCTCCAGGGCAGTCTCAGGACGATGCTACACGGGCTCTCGGATAAATGAGGGAATTCTTAAGATGAAAGCAGAAGCTTCTCAGAACCTTCCTTTTTCTTCCCCAGGCACCTTTCACCTTATCCCAGGCACAGGCATGTACTCCTGTGCTCTCCATGTGTGCTGCATGTGTGTGTTGTATGTGTGCATGCATATTGGAAGCTATATGTAAGTACAGGCTGTGTGTTGTGTGTGCTGTATGTGTGTGCGCAGATATGCTATACAAATTTCCAGGCATGTACAGTGCATGTGTCGACACGTGTGTTGCATGTGAGGAGCACGCACTGTAAGTGTAGACAGGTCAAGCCATATGCTGTATGTGCATCTGTGCACATGGAGGTGTCGCGTGCGCATGCATGTTACATGCATGTCTGTTTCTGTGTGCCTGCACATATTCTCATTGTGGAGGCAATGACCCTGGGAACCGCTTCAGGCACTAACACGTGAGCTAAGCTCTTCAGTATGTCTTGGTAGACTAGCTGTCGGGGAGGGAGGAGTGTGAGCACAAGGACAAAGGTGGCTTGCTGTGACACAAGAACGCTGCACACAGCAGCGTGAGAGCACCATCGCCTGTGCTCGGCTCAGTTTGGCCTCCAGAACCATCTCGAGCCATGTCAGGGCTACTTCACACCCAGCCTGTGAACAAGAGGGCAGCCATCTGCCGGCAACAGGCACGGCGTGTCTCCTACTTTCCAATCGAGATGCCAGAATCCTCCCTCTCCCCCGCCTTCCCTGCAGTGGGTACCAGCCCCCCAAGCTCACCAGACAGTGATGAACTAGAGGCCACTGTCCCCTGAGAATCGGGGTCCTCTGGCCCACCCAGGAGGGACGCCCCACCTTTAGTTAGTCTCCACACGTACCTAAAGGCTCAGACAACACTGAGCATGCAGATCCTAGCACGCCTCAGTGGAGGGGCACACTTCACAGACGAGCACAGCAAACACCCCAAGTTTTAGGCTACAGTGGGGCTTCTTGCCGACAAGGTAACACGCAGCCTTCTTAGCACCGAGTTACAAAATCAATTATTGATCAGGTCTGAAAGTGCTGAAGGCGCCCCGGGCCCTGTCAAATGCTCAGTCGTGGCTTCACACTTTATATAAATGAAATAATCCTTCCCGTTATTATATAAATTTGCTTTAGTCTTTAATAAATGGTGAAACTGTATGTATACAGCAAATAATTGTTTTTTTTAAAATGTCTTTCATGATTTGCTAGTAGCAAAAGCTTGATTTGTACGCCTATTTTTACATATGCATGCCCAGGGTTTGAGTAAAAATCCCTCTGACAAGATGGGCCTACAGGGATGTCTTTAGGCCGTTTCAGAAGTTGTTGGAAATTCTGTCCCAATCACAATCAAAACTAACTTAATGATTTCTTAGGAAACTCTAGTCATCCACTCAAACAGCAACTTTTCAGATCAAGCATTCGGGCCTGCGAGGTGGCTGAGTGGGTAGAGGGGCTTGCGGACAGGCTTCCCAGGCTAGGTTCAATGCCCAGATCCCACGCAGAGACAGGAGAGGGCCGATTCCCTACCGCTGTCCTCCGGCTGCCACACACACGCAGCAGCATGTGTGAGCCCCACAGATGTACATACACACACACACGTAAAGAAAAATGTAAAGTAAAACATTCTAACCCAACCCAATCCAAAGACACTAACTTGGTACTCACATGCTGAGAAAAGAGGCAGGAGTCTTTGTTTTCCATAATTAAACCATTCTGTTTCTTAAAAACCCGAAACCCATAATACAGGATAGCCTGGAATCTGAGCGGGGTGTTCGGGGCCCTAGGGCTTGGAAGATTCACATTCGAAAACGGCCCTAAACTCGCTTCTGCCACTTTCTACTCGGTGTCCATGAATGCAGGTCCAGCGACCGCTGCCCGAAAGGCCAGTCACTACCTGTCAGACTTTGACTTGTCTTTGGTTGTACGTGCAGGAACCTTTTGCTGTTCTCAAACTTTTATGAACCCCACATTTAGCATGCAACCCCATTCGGGGTCACAACCACAGCAGAGACCTACACCAGTCCCCAGAGGACTCTACCTGCTTGAAGAACTCCGGGAAGTTGAGGATGGGTCCATTGTGGAAGACCGGGTAATAGAAGACGTAGGCCAGCAGCCACGGGAAGGAGTGGGGGGCGCGCTGGGCGGGCGGAGGCTGCCGGCACAGCTCCAGGCTGAAGCTGGTGTAGTACAGGCAGCGGACGGTCAGGGTGAACTGCAGCAGGTAGTACTCATTTTCCGTCTCGTACCACTTCCTCTGCAAAAGCAGCGAGAGGGAACAGCCCGTGAGTGAGCGCAAGGTGGCACTAGCCCACCACGGGGGCATCCAGACCAGATGGTTTCCCCTGGGGCACAACAAAGGAGTGTCAAGCAGATCCCCTGGCAACAGAGGCACGCAGGCAGTGTGGGTGCAGCCGGGAGGCAGAGCTCGTGCCTTGTGTGTCTGGGGCCCTAGGTCCAACCCTTGGCACCGAAGCAACACTTCACATATGAGATTCAAAACCAGGACAGAGTTTTTCTTCGGTCCATAAGGGACTTGGCAGCTGTATGAGAACTAACCGAACCGCTCAACAACCATACAAGGCTGCCGCCTGCCCGATGTTCACCTCCATCAAACACACACAGCTAACAATTGTGTGTATGTGTCTGGTAGGGTGCTATTCCCTGGCATATACCAAGGCTTAGTCTGTGACATTAAGACAAAAAACACTGTTCTCACTTTCTATGCAAAGTGCTTCTGTGATTGGCTTCTGTGTACGAGTAGATAATCTATAAGCCTGACCTATCGCCTAAGGAGAAAAGCGCCTGTCTGACCATTGTGGACATTGGTGCCACTGTGGACATTGTGTGTCATAAGAAAGGTAAATGAAAAAGGTCCCTAAGGAGGGCAGGCCCTGCCCCTTACCAGCTATAGCAGTTGGGAGGGTGGGCCCTGATTTAGGGGTTGGCTCAAAGGCATGAGAGCGGGAGAGCTGGTGGGTGACCAGCTCAGATTCCTCTCAGAACCAGAGCCAGGGCCTTGGGTTGGCCTAACCCAACATCTGCCCTTCACTGAACTTCTGGAGTGCATGAAGGGACTGGTCCTGCAGCGCCTACAGATCTCATGACACAGAGTAACAGGACATCCCCAGAGGAGTCCCTGCGCCATTTCGGTATCGATACTGTAGCAGAAGCCAGAGGCCTCGTACCAGGCTGAGCCCTGGCAATGAACATCCGCAAGCAAAGAAGTGTGGACAAACGGGTGCACACTGTGGGGCACTCAGCGACACACCAAGGTTTTTTCTCTGTCGGTGGGAGGAGGGTGCAACGGTGGAGGGCAGGTGTGAGGGAAGGGGGAGGTGAGTGGGACTGGGGTGCAGATGTGAAATTCACAAAGAACCAATAAATGGTTTAAAAAAAAAAAAAAAGGAGGGAGGGAAGGAAGGAAAAAACGGTCCCCTAAGGAACAGAGCACTCAACAGGTATATTTAAGCATATAGGGAGGAGTAACTGCTCCTAGCCCTCTGGTCCCACGACGTCTGTCATCCTCCATTAACATCCGAATGGGGAGAAAAGGTGACCCTGGACAACCCCACGGAGCTCAGACAAAGAACCAACCCAGCCGAGTTCTGCGATAACCCTGAATGGCCACTAGGCGGAGCCCCACTCAGGGGCTACCGCCGTTTTGTACATGGGGAGAAGCGGAGGCGCCTTCCCCTTCCCTGTGGTAGGAGACAGGAGGAGAAGCTTACCTTAGCTTCCTCCACACTCTGCAGCCTCAGGGTGGAGAGGAGGAGGAGAGAACACAGCCAGGTCAGGAGCATCGACCGGAACTGGGCCACGCAGAAGGCAACGGTGGCGTGGAGAAAGACTGCGGCCACGCCTGGAACCCCCAGCACACACCAGCAGGCCCACATTCCATAGACCATGAGGATCCAGGGTCTGTGCTGTAGAAGGACAAGCGTGAGCTCACGGCTGTAGCTAGGAAAGTGCCTGCAGGGCAGGGCACGCCTTTGTGCCCAGTAACCGAATCTTGTTCCCACTGCCCGGCCAGGTCCACCAGGAATCAAGTAATTGCCTTCCTGTCCTCAGCCAGAGCCCCCTGGACCTCCTGGGTCCCACAAGAGTGACATGCACAGCTGACTTCTGAACAGAGGAGGCAGGCCAGCAGCTGGGAAGCCCACACCGCCAGACCTGCAGACAGCATCCGTCAGAAGCTAAAATGAGTGACAGGCACACCTCTGCAGGGCCTGAGAGAAAACTGGCTCCCCACACCAAAGCTCTGAGGTCATAGACTTAAAATCAGGTAGCTCATAGTTTTGGAACGTCCACCCATGCACGGTCAACCGAGGGTAACTAGGACATAGCCCAAGGCAAAAATCATAAACGTGAGGATTATGAGGGCTTTTTTTTTTTTTTCCAAAATTTTTGTAACTCAATTTTGCAGTCCTTGTGTGTGAACTTTTCAGAATACAGTATAGTCCAGATGAAGCCAGAAGTTTGGACACCCTTAGGGTATTATTCATAATCAATTTTTGTTGTCGTCCTCCGCTCAGGGTCCTGGAGCTCTGCTTCCAACAGAGAATGGAGCTGCCATTTCTCTCAGGGGCTGCTAGAGTGCTTTAGGGTGAGGTCCGAGTGCCCTAAGCTGGGTGTGGACAAGGTTTTCCGCAGACTCTTACAGTTTAGCTCTTTAGCGTGAGCTCTCCGGTGGCAGTGGAGGCTCGGGCATTCCAAAGCCTGTGGCGATACCAAAGTGTTACAGCTCTCAGCTCTCAGGCTGCTGTGCTGAGCACGGTGCAGGCCAAAGCCCATGCTTGCAGCTGAGACATAGGCCTGGTGAGATGTGGCCCAGTGGGGGATGAATCTCAACTCAATGGTCTTGAAGTGAGAAAACTCAAACCTTTCATGTGAAATCGAGGACAATATAAACCCTGGGCAGAGGGAAGGATTTTGGGGATGAATGTGTTTGATTCACTGGGGTCAGGGATACTCAATGGTCCTATCACAGAAGGAAAATTCAGTACAGTCATCCTCCAGAGGGGGATCTCCAAGAACCATGGACGGTCACAGCTGGACTAGATAGCAGGCGTCCTCAGGAATTCCTAGATGCTTTCCCTGTCGGGGAAGGTCTGCTCTGTGCCCTTGGGGATGTGTGATGCTCCTCAGCCCCTTACCAAACCTGGGGTTCCCCCCCTGTCAGGGGAGACTTTAAACCCTGATGAGAAAGGGAGTCTATCATCATAGCCTGAGCGTAAATGATTGGCTGTCCAGAGATGATGGACTTCAACCTCATCAGCAGAGCCCACATCTGTGATGTCAGGATCTTTGACCGACACATTGGTCCCAATTTAAGAGACTCTGGTTATGGGAAACTATTCTATTTACTGAGCAAGTAGCCTCATTATCCCGATTACCTAAACCCGTGAACTAACACATCTTCGGGTCATGCCGCCTCTGTGTCCAGCTGCTAAATTCTTATCTTTAAAACTGCGATAGGTCTGGGGAGATGGCTCAGTGGGTATAGCATCTGCTCTGCAGTCACAAGGTCCTGAGTTCAGATCCCAGCACCTACGTAAAGCCACCAGTGGCAGCACGCATCTGAAACTCCAGCACTCCTATGGAGATGAGAGGGGGAGCAGGGGAGCCTAGAAACTCACAGGCCGGCCAGCCGGAAGCACAGCAGTGACCAGGAGACCCTGCCCCAAGGAAGCAGGAACCTGAGGTCGCACTGAAGGCCATCCTCCAACGCCCACACATCCCCAGGGACACATGGTGTGGGCACGCCTGCACACACGCACCACACACACATGGACACAGGAACGAGAAATCATTTTTTTAAACTGCAATGAAGGGCAAGTGAGATGGCTCAGGAGTAAAACTGCTTGTCACCAACAAGCAAGTCTGCTGACATGCATCGAACACCCTCGTGAAGATGGAAGGAGAGAGCAGACACCACCCAGCCGTCCTCCGACCACGTGCCCACACACATCATAAACACACACTGTAGAAGGACGGCAGTGACGACGTGAGCATGTGTCTCCGGAGGAGGGAGCGTGTCTGGCGCCTGCCAGGCCTTTCCTGTGGTCCTTAGCACCACCAACGGGAAGACAGGGCAATAAGGGTGCCGCTGCATGTGCGTGAGTGTTTCGTCTGCGCGCATGTGTGTGCACCGTGTCACGTGCTGCCCACAGGAGAGGCTGGAGTCGGTACAGACGCTTGTGCGCTGCCACGGGGTGCTGCGAACTGAACCCGGGTCCTCACAGCTGCTGAGCCATCCCTCCAGCCCCTGGCTTTAATATCAAGCGGTGGTGTTTACTGTCTAAGGCTTTGCAGGCACCTGCGTGATCTTCATCAGGTTCCATGAGCTCACTGTGGCTCGTGTTCTTCGTATACAGAAAACAGTAACAGGCCACAAGGTCACCATGAGCATAAGGGGCTGTGTGTGAACCACACTTAGCACATGCAAAGCCAGGGCTCCTCAGCTCCACTCAGGCCCAGGCTGTCTGTCTGTGGCTCGGTGGACAGAATGCTTGCCAGCCTGCAGGGCACCCTGTGTTCTAGCCCCAGCACGTCACAAAGCAGATCTAATGACACATACCTGAAATCTAGTGCTCATAGGGACAGGCAAAAGGGTAAGTTGTTCAAGGATATCCTGGTTATCTAATGAGATTATAGCTAGTCTGGGCTACAGGAGAGACTCACTGTCTCAAAAGACAAAAAGGTTATTTCTGAGAAAATGTGATGTTCTGAGTGTGAGTTTTGAATGAAGAGTCAGATGACTGAACTTAGATCTGGTGAAAACGATGAGCTGGGCCTCGTGGCTCAGGCCTGCCCCACTCAGGAGGCTGAGGCAGGAGGATCACAAGTTTAAGGCCTGTCTGAGCAACTTAGTGAGACTGTGTCTAAAAGCAGAGTAGAACAGGACTGAGAGTATAGCTCAGTGGCACAGGGACTGGCTGCCATACATCAAGCCTGGGTTCGGGCTCTAGTACAGCCAGAGAGACAGGCAGACAGTCAGAAGAGTCAGACAGACTGGACGCAGGGCAGGCTGGAGCATAGCGGCTTGCCCACCTCACCCTGGTAACAGCACCCCTGAGCTGCTGTGTACCTCTTCCAGCTCAAGAGAACATCTGAAATGTGAGACCAAGGCAGCCACTTTTATGTTCCAAAAAAAACAGAGGGATGTGGTCCATTTTTATGGTTTTTTTCCACCCTGCTAACCATAGAAAGCAGCCACATAAATTTGCTTCAAACTTTCCTCAGCTCTCAGCTCTGGGCAGGGTCCAATTTTCAGAAACAAGGTGTCCAAGGACTATTTTATCGCAGTTTTCACAAGTGGGAGGAAAGGTTCTTTTCCACACACCCTGCAGCGTGGGGACAGTGCACGCGTGTCTACACACGTGTGGGTACGAGGTGACACTTTGAGTAGGTGCTATTTGACCTGCTTGGGAAAAGCCTGTGTGCTGAGCTTCATTTGGAACTCGCCACAGAGAGAAGCGGCAGGTCGGAGCTTAAAGCAGCTTCAGAAATTCCTAACTGCGGTTTAACCCAGCGCCGCTCCCCGGGCGTCTGCGGTGGACGAGACAGTGGCCGGACTCTGCACCGCCGTCACCCCCCACCTTCCCTGTGCAGAGTTGGTGTGGGGCCACTGTGCCGTTTAAATACTCACAGTCACACCTAAAAGGTTAAAATGCCACTGGAGTCCCCGCTCACCCAGATACAAGGTGGCAGCCCTGAGCAGGGCTGGCAGGGCCCCACTGCCCTCGACACTCACTTCTACCACAGGCTGAACAGAGAGGGGCAGGACACCCGCGTCAAGGCCACAGGCAGAGGCCTAGGCAGGCCTTCCTCTGGCTCCTACATATATCACTGTGAAGCCTGTCACATGAACCAGGACAGAACTGTTTTAACTTTCCAAAACTAGAGAGAAAAAAAAAAAAAAAAACGCACATCATGTTCTACCCCAAAGCCGTGTTTCTAAGTCGCTACACGGGCCTGGAAGTTCTCCCAAGTGCTCAGGGATCTGAGCAGACACACACTCTGTGTCACGCCCAGGCTTCTTTAAAGGATGGATTATGTGTGTCTGTACTGTGAACATGCCTGGTGCCTGAAGATGCCAGAAGACAGTGTTGGGTCCCCTGGAAATGGAGCTACAGAGGGTTGTGATCTGGAAACTAAGCCTGGGTCCACTACCAGAGCAGTGGCCCCTGAGCTGTCTCTCCAGCAGCACTCAGCTTGTTAAAGCCACTGCCTTAGGGGAGGGCTTCAGTCCCTGTGATTAAAAAACACCATGACCCACACAACTTGTGGAGAAAAGGGTTGTTCAGCTCACACTTCCACAGCACTGTTCATCAGGGAAGAAGTCAGGACAGGAACTCAAGCAGGGCAGGAAGCTGGAGGCAGGAGCTGAGGCAGAGGCCATGGAGGGGGCTGCTCATTGGCTTGCTCCTCATGGCTCACCCAGCTGCTTTCTTACAGAACCCAGGGCCACGGCCCAGGGATGGCTCCACCCACAATAGGCTGGGCCCTGTCCATCAACCAGTAATTAAGAAAATCCCGACAGCCTGCAGCCGGAGCTCATGGAGACATATTCTCAGTTGAGGCTCTGTCCTCTAAGATGACTCCAGCTTGCGTCAAGTTGACAAAACCACACAGCACATACGTACCACAGTCAAAATGGCCCAGTTCATTTAAATGAGATTAAAGTACTCTGGCTTGTATTTACTAATCTCTAGAAAAGGCACAAAAATCCTCTCCCCAGGCTTCCATCACCCCCCAAACAGGCTGCACACCCCCAGGCTTACACACGCACACGCACACGCACGTCTGGGCTTCTGCAGCCCTGGACTGACACCACCCACTTACCAACTCAGGGAAGTGAGGCCAAAAGAAATCTCAATAGCTAGCTACGATGTTTCTAATTTGGAACTGTAAACTCGAAGCA